CCGAGAGCTCTTCTACACAAGTTCCATTCATCATTCCAATACTATAAAATCACCTACTCCAAGCAAAATTTTCAACCTTTTTTGGCCTTCAGAGAGGCTGCTCAGCGAAAATGAACCTCAGCAATCTAAAGCAGCTCGCATCCTGAAAGATCTCTCCCTGCTTGTAGGAACATCCATAAAAGCGCTATTAATGAGTCTCAACAAGGGTCTTTCAAATACTCAATGACGATTTGCGAAAACAGTGAAAGCCCCGTCTGCCCTGTTGCCTGAAGTGCACATGCCCTCGATAAGGCCTTGCTATGGATAGAATGTCGGTTGTCAGTGAGTCACCGGAACACACAGCTGGGCAAACTGCTTGTACGCATACATCATAGCATGCCACAACGGACAGGAAAATTTGTGAAAGGGGAGAAGTCAATGCACATCATGCTTTATGACTCAAAAATCAAAATTAGAACAGAAGTATAAACAGAGAATTGGGTAGAGTGCGCCGGATCAAGACACTTCAATATCCATACCCAAAACTTATTTCGATTGCGAGCATTATCAAATCTCGTAGCTTTTGTTATGAAAAAATTCTTATGGTTAGCAATAAAGACGTAAAGCACATTCAGTGACCCCTTATCGCCATTTTCACCTGACAATTCTATCGGTTTTACTTTGGGTAGAATAATCGTAGGGCTTCCAACCTGAATTCATCGTGAGCATTTTCTGAGTAAATAAAACCTTTTTGGAGAATATTTTGATGTTTCGTGCAAAAATTTAGGAGAAGCTTCTAAGGTCTGGAAAATAAAACGATATACCGTCAACAATATATGGTGAAGGATGGTGTTATAGTGGTTGAGATTGGTCTGAGATTTAGACGGGAAGTAAACTCCTACGACGCAGTGGGCGGCCTTTCTGATGATGAATATCTGTTTTTTGCCCATTACTTGGAAGTAAAAAAACAAAGACATTGAAAAAGATTTCATATAGGGGATACGAGTATTGGAAAGCACCAATATTTTGCATTTTCACTGATTTTTCCGAACGTGATTTTCAGCTATGTGGTTGGGGTGATCCGACGCGAACGACTGCTCGTCTTTGAAAGAGTACTTTGGCGAGCCAGTCATCACACTGCTTACCTCAGGAGCGCACCGATCGAGGAGGAGTTGGAAGATGAGAACGTGAGTCGGAGTACGTCATCGTTGAAAAGCATTCACCAACGTCTTTTAGCAGCATTTTTTTCAGAGGATTAAAGTTCAAAAAGACGTTTTCATCGTTTTCTACAAAGGAGACCGGCTCCGCAATATCGTCGAGAAGGTGTGCGACGGTTTCAAGGCGAAACTCATGAAGAACTGCCCTAAGACATTCAAGGTAGGACGGAATTGATCGTTGGTAGAAAAGCAGTTTAGAAAAACTGTTTCAGGACCGACAATCTGCTCGCATTGATGTGAAGGCTCGTCTACAGGATGTTAAGACAGTGCTCGGTCAGACTCAAGAACATCGATACCGGGTTCTGCAGGCTGCTGCTAATAATCACAACAACTGGCTGAGACAGGTCCTAATTGATTTGATTGTTCTCCTTATTTTATGGTCTATTCTGGGTGGTAAGGATGGGGATCACATGGAAACTTTTCACTCTACGAGATCGGCAGCTCGATACGTGTGGTCGAATAGATTGTGACTATGTTCACGCCTCTACCATGCTGTTTCCGCCATCAAATTGAATCAAGTTTTAGTAAAAGGAATACGCCCTACATTGAAGGCGGATGAAAAGACAGCCCACTTAAAATTACGGTAGAGATAAGTAGTGATGCACAAAGGAAGAGAAAAGCCAAGAAAACCGCATAGAATCCGAGAAATGGGACCCCTTCAATGCCCCTATATATATGCGACTCTCATCGAAGCTGCCCTCCTCAACGCTAAGGCTCTCTTTGTTGAATTTCTGGCTGGCCCCCCCCCACCCCCACCACCTCAGACCGAGACAATGATCTCTGCGTGACGCGGAGGGATTAACTAGACCAATAGCCACACAAATTGGGTCCGCGGTGTTAAAGGCCCGTACTACTAGATCGCCGAGGCAATCCCTCGATCAAAATGCGGGGCGTCGATCTCACCTTATTGTTACACGGTCTCCTGTTCTCATCCCACTAGGTAAGTTTCTTCCCTTCTTTTGACTTCATCTTGTCGTCGAATCCTTTTTTTAACATGTTTACACAGTATCGCGACGTTCTATGCGCTGCATTCAAAGAAGTCGTTAAGTCGGCAGGTGTCATGAAACAGTTTACCACGTCGCCACGCCGCAGTTAAGCTCTAGCCGGCTCTAAAGGGAAGCCCGAAGTATAATCGTCATTTTGTAATTCCACTTTCGTGCGTTCAGGTTGCGGATCGCGCGCAAAATCTAGAGGGAGGGGAGCTCTAACAGTCAGCTATTTTAGGCCGATGTCATAGTTTGCGGGCGATCGAGGCGATTCGCTAGCGAATCGCTCGATCCGAGCGTTGCGCCAGCGAATCGAACTTTGTGCCAGCGAGTCGAACGAATGTACCAGCGAGTCGAACTAGGTACCAGCGACTCAATAGTGGCGGGACCCAACGTTTAAAGGAAGCCCGCCACTTTCAAACAGTGTCCACTGGCAAAGTCCCCCGCCACTTTCAAACAGCGTCCACTGTCACGTGACACTGTTTGAAGTGGGCGGGCTTCCTTTAAACGTTGGGTCCCGCCACTATTGAGTCGCTGGTACATCGTTCGACTCGCTGGCGCAAAGTTCGATTCGCTGGTGCAACGTTCGATTCGCTGGCGCAACGCTCGGATCTAGCGATTCGCTAGCGAATCGCTTGATTCGCAAACTATGACATCGGCCTTAGGAAGGTTGCCTCGCCTCAACACCCTTGTGCCGTCCTCCCAAATTGTAAATTAAATCTATGAATATGCGGAGCTAGCTACCGTACCTCTCTACATCAGGGTCAACCGTACGTTAGACGAAGTCCAACGAGGAGGTGGGGGGGGGTCCGTATTTGGGGAGTGGGGAAGAAGAGGAGCGGTCGTATTTCGCGAGGTAGCGTTAATGTTACAGTAAGGGAAGGGATGATTTTTTATGGAAGGGAGAGCGGATTAGGTTGTAGGCGTAGGCTGGGATTTTGGGTTGAGTGTTGAGTGCGAAAATTTTGCCGTTTCACATTCCCCCCGCCCCACCCCCCCCGTCGACGGCAATTTTGGAGAAAGTGGGCAGGAGTTGGGCTGGGTCGACTGGTTCTCAGAATCAAATACTATAGAGAGTCCGCCCCCATGGTGGCGATGGCAGGCGAGGGTGGTGGAGGATGGTTGTGAAGGGTGTTAACCTTGAGGGGGGGGGGTCGTATCGAGGCCCTCTAGAAGGGGGGGGTCGTAAAATTTTTGAAATTGGTCCAACGTGACGGTTGACCCTGGCATCCCTTTTCCCCAAACATCACTTGCGCAATGATCATTAGAAGGTTCTTCAGCTTATCGCACAAGAAAAAACATTGCAGGTCAGAATGCAAAAAACCGTGTACCACCATCTGAATCTCTTTACCTTCGACGGTATTGGCAAGTTCTTTGTGGCCGAATGCTGGGTGCCCTTGGTTCACTTAGACGAAGTGAAGGCAGCCCTCGAACGAGGAGCGGTGAGCAGAGAGTTTCTACTATCTTGCGAAGATATTCTCATGCACATCTCGTTTAGGAAACATCAGGCTCTACAGTTCAGCCAGTTCTGAACGTTCTAGAGTCTCCAGAAGAACCACCGACTTATAACAGAACAAACAAATTCACCGAAGTTTTCCAAGGAATCGTTGATTCATACGGAATCGCCACCTATCAGGAACTGAACCCTGGTAAGAGCTTTTCTTATCCAATTTCGCCATTCGCCTTATCTGATCTTACACGACTACTGGTATGGAGAGCCACGGACCCGCTTTCAAGCTCTAAAACCTCGCTGGCGCTTATCAGTCCTGCTACGTTATGCACGACTACACGTAACATAACATAGCATAAAATATCGATATGGCATGCATAAACAGCCATTGTATTCCACTTCCTTACAAAAAGTACAAATGGAAAGCTAGCGTTTTCATCTCTTCGCTACAATCGAGAGGGTAGTTTCCTTGGGGAAATGTTAAAGCTGAAAGGCAGTGACTACGATGGCTGGTGAGGCAGTTCAGTTTTGATGACTTCGTTGGGCTTCATTGGTGGTTAAACTCCTCAGCGCGCTAGGAGGTGTGGCTAGAACCGCTTCTCGGTGTTCCTCTACCAATGACATTCATTTACGTCATCAAAACCGCGTTACCCTCCAGCCATCGTGATCGCTGCCTTCAACCCTTTGACGACAATGCGGATTTGCACGTAGCTTGCTCGTGGGACCACGCCTGTTTTTGGCGCGCCCAACTCTCGCTCACAATTAGGCAAAATTGTCCTTCAAAGCATTTTTCTGTAGAATTTTTGACTTTAACAGTATACCAGTTATAACTGCAGTTCTAGGCTTTCATACTGTATATTTTTTTCAAGAGAATTCCAAATTTGGACGGGAACTCGCGTTTCAAAGGAAGGAGGGCAAAACCTCTAAAAGTTTGTGTCCAAGAGAATTTCCGGTACACTTCAAACCCCTTCCCATATCTGAGGGCTATGAGAAGACGAAGAAGTCCTGATTAGTAATTAATCTTCGGCCTAATAATTTAAAACCCCAATTAATATGGTGGCGAGCTAAATGGCACATTCCAAAAATTCTATATAAATTAGCTCTTAGTAAACATTTCTGTAAGTCGTGCTAGCCATAGATATTATGGAACTTGCTTATAATTATTGGGGTGTTACAAATGTTTTAAATGCACAAAGAAGGAAATTTTAAGGTGGCACCCACCATTGGGTGCCATTGTCCCACGCGACGAACATAGTGGCACCCACCGGTGGGTGCCATTGTCGTCAAAGGGTTAAAAGAGTGATCAGAGTGGTGTGATTCATACATTCGAAAATGAAAGGTGGAGTCAAGTGGATTGGCACTGGAACGAAATGAATATGGATCCATCGAAGACGCTAACCAAAGATCAAGGTCTACCTAATTTTTTGATTTGGCAGCCCTAACGCAGCGAGACCCACATGTTGTAGATGAGGAAAACGGAAGCCGTCGAAGCGGTCTTTGGAGGTCGATAACACCTTAATAGTGCCCATTTGAGTGCTCCAGCTGGAAGAACGGGATATCTACGACATTAGTGGGTAGCTCTATCCTGCTCGCCAAGGAGATCGATCCTCCTGAACTCATTGTAGAATGTGCCTTCACAAAAGTTAACCCATTGCGGACCGCCGTTATAATTGCACCTCCGTAGGTTTTTGTCATCTGTTTTATCAGTGGCCAATGAATCTATCAAAAATTTAACCAGTATGCAATAAGTGATATATCCTGTGTCCAAAAAAGTAAACTGTGATTTGTAACTTAACAAAATGCTGAAAAAATCAAAGATTACTGTTCTTCTCCGCGGGTCCGCAATGGGTTAATCAAGTGTTCTGAGCAGTTGATCGTCCATCGTGCTGATTCATGATTTTGATAAGGAAATCTGACCACTAGTCTGGTGGTTGTTGAGATGACAACAGGTTGGTGTATGAGCCTCCCTACACATGCTGCTTCTTAGGCCTGTTAGGCTTATCTTGCAATTTTTTATTTATTTGCTTGGTGCACTCATTTTTGAAAGCTAGTTGATCACATAATAAAAACAAAAACACTAATAAGTGTGGGAAAATCACAAACGGAGACAGATTGTGAAAAGAGCTCCTACCGTATACAGTTCATTGATGTCACGGAACGCAGTCACTGAATCACTCAGCATAGTTAGAAAGCAGTTATAGCAAGTTTTAATAATCTCTATGAAAACAGCCTTGAAAAAATATGTGTCACACAGCATTTACAGCGGTCATACCCAAATTGCACCAAATTTTTCGCGTCCACAAGTTTTGAGTTGAATTGACGCGTGACGAAGTATAATAGTTTTACTCGTAGAATTCTGGGTTGAAAATAATGCTTTCCCGATTTACAGCCCCGTACACGATCATCTCGTTCCCGTTCATCTTTGCTTGTATGTTCGGAGATCTGGGACACGGTTTGCTTATGTTCCTCTGCGGTCTTTACTTCGTGGTTCGGGAGAAGAACCTCATCAATCGTAATATCAAGGACGAGGTTTGCTGTGACGCTCTTCCCTCTGTTCTTCAGACACATTATTCCATTTGCAGATCTTTGGAATGTTCTTTGGTGGACGTTATATTATTCTGTTAATGGGACTGTTTTCGATTCATGCAGGCATCATCTACAATGACGCCTTTGCAAAGTCGTTCAACATCTTTGGAAGTACTTGGCTGAATCCATACCCGTAAGATAGATTTTCGCGTATACTTTCATTAAGTTAATCTCAGCCGTCGTTCAGCAATCAAACTCTCCACGACTGGACCATCGAGAGTGAACAGAACAAAAAAGAGTTCTTGATTGAGGTTGGTTTTCGCACTTCCATACCCTTTTTCCTATTGTATAGCTGTGCCTCCCCTTATATTGAACAGGAGCAGTTTTAGATGGATCCCGGCTACAGTTACCAACATGCTGGAGGACCGTATCCATATGGTGTGGATCCCATTTGGAATGTTGCCGAAAACAAATTAAACTTCCTGAACTCAATGAAAATGAAGTTATCTGTGATTGTTGGAATAGCGCAGATGACATTCGGCGTTATATTGAGCTTCTACAATTACAGGTACTTGTTTTCAATAATAGGTACAATATTTTCATAAAAGTACTGGAAAATTCAGTCTGTTCAGGCATGATAGTGAAAAAAAAGTGATGTTTAACATACAGAAGGTCTCGAACCCGAAAGGTATGGGAAAGGGATAACTCCTCCCTCTGAAATCCTGTTTACTTTGACGGTTGCTATCTCCTTTTATGCTTCCGTTCCCTCACCCAATCCAGACCTAAGAGGCGTTAATTCCCAAGTTCCGCTTGTATGAAACTCACTTGCGGAGAAGTTCAGGAAAGGTTCGTATGGACCTCAACATAAAATCGTCGTAGATTTCTTTCTGTAGAGGGTTTCATGAGGTCGTTAGACAACTCTCAGTGACTCACACTTGGGCGGGATCACATTGTTCAGAGCCTGAAAGGATCAAAGCCAGCATGAATACCCAACAAAACGTGGTTAAATTCTACTGAATTCCGTGATCGAATAGCCCACCACGTCTTCGTAGGTTGAGCTTACCTACAGTAGATTGATCTCTATCCTTGAGAACCAGAGACCAGAAGCAATGCGGACTGTTCTTGTTTAAAGGTAACTACTTGATTGGTAACCTTGGATGAAACCTCAGCTCCCGCGCTACCGTAGGACTTTGTTCCTCCCGTTCGTTTTGCACTACTCACTTGAATTCACAATGCTTGGGTTTTCATGCTGGGATTTAATGTTCACTCCAAAATCGCGACTGATCCACAACTCGAAAAAGTTATGAGCTCAGAAATTTCTCCATTGGACGAGCTGTTCAATTGGAACAGCTTCAACTTTGCACCAGCATCCATAGCAACTTCAGCTTCGATGGCAGTACTGCCACACGATTTTTTTTGCAGATTTTTCAAGTCAAAGATCGACATCTTCACAGTTTTTATTCCACAAATGCTATTCATGACTTGTATATTTATTTACCTGTGCTTGCAGGTTTGTTTTTCTTGTAATGTCAGTGCTATGGGTCATTGGGAAAGACTTGCCAATTTGATATTTTTCAGATCATTGTGAAGTGGATTTTCTTCTGGGTCAGGGCGGAGTATATTTTCGGCCAGCTTTATCCTGGTTCTCACTGTGCGCCATCCCTCCTGGTATGTAAAGCTCTTCTTCCGCAATGAATCAAGAATTACTGAGATCTGTTTTCAGATTGGTCTTATCAGCATGTTCATGTTCAAGGATCGACCAGCTGGATTCGTACAAATGGACAAAGTACGTATAACTTTACCTGTCTCCCTTGGAGTTTCCAATTTTCTTCGTGCAGAAATTCTGCTGTCCCTTAAAGTCGAAATGTCTTCAGCAGAATGACTTGTCTCTATGCTTCACATGGGAAAAATAATATTTGAAGAACTGGAAGGGAAGAAGCCATCCAAATTTTCGCATGCACTCGGCGCTTCACAATGGGGCTCATATCTTGCGTT